AATGTTTTGTGTTAGAGACTTACATTAATACAGGAATTGCACATACTGAGGGTTGCGGTTACCGTGTACGCACTGTAAATATTTTTCATCGGATGAACAGTAATAAACCTATGAAAAACACGTTTTTAAACCTTAAGTCCAGATTTGAGGAGATATTAAAAATTGATTATATTCGTTAAGAATCAGAGTGGACTTAATACTGGAATTTGGGAATGAAGATGTGTCGATTTGAAGAGGGACCTTTGTAGAACGAGGATCATTAGAGACAGTGGATTTAGAAAAGGTTACGGATTCTGAGTGCTATGGACCACTATTCCCAATCGACTAACTTATGCGCTTTCTGAACACGGGCATTGATCAGACGTCACTCCGGGTCATGTTCATTTGTAGCATATCACCCGATTCGGTTGTATTTGACACTTTTTGAAGTGATGACCCCGCATGAGGCATTTTGCACATCGTACATTTTCGTCGTCCTTCACAGCGAGAAATGGGTCGACAATAGTTTCCACTTTCGTATCATTCTCATTTTGATTTTTGTCATTTTTATATTCATCGACTGAGTTCGAATACGTACGTTTCTGAGATGGTTTAACTGGTTTATTTTACTTGCTCACGTAAGCGCATTCCCTGTCATCTGTGTCGGATCCAGGAAACGAAGCGATGTATTCCGAATGTGAAGAATCATCCGGTGAATCATGTAGTGCCGAAATTTCCCATGGCTCTGATCGCTGTATATCAGAACGGGTTCTTTCCGAACGGGATGTGGCGACAATGAGCGAATGTGGTGTAATGCGCTGAGCGAACTCACGCAATTTTTCTAACGCGTGGACTTGTCGAGTGTGGACGACTTCACGAAGATGGTCGGATAAGGTACTAATGATGATATCGAGGTGATCCCGTTCATCCAGAACACACGAATTACACTGTTAAGTTATCGATATTTTTCAACAGTGTTGGCGACCGTGGATCGAACTTAATCTGTGGATATGACATTATTACTTGAGCCCGAGTATGTTTGTTGAGGAAACGAGCACGAAGATTTGTGCAAAAATCTTGATAATCTCCGAGCTTTCTCAGTTCGGTGAAATACCATTGTCGAGCGGGTCAGGTACCACGGATATATCGAAACGAGCCAAAAATAGCCAAATAATCTTCAACCGATAGAAATTTTTCGTTTACATGAACGCCATCGAATTGAGCACGTCCCACCATTTCCTATACATTGCATCCGCTTGGGCAGATTCGTCGAATATAGTGGCTTGATTTGGTCGTGATTGTGGTGGACCGGATATAAATGAGGGGGTTGATTAATTGGCTCTTGAGTATGAGACGTTGTAACACCACGATAGGTATTGGTCGTTTTAGTTCGTAAGGTTGAAGGACCAACCAAAGAAACATGAGGAGGATCCACCGCTGGTGGTAGCCAGGTATGATTCAAAGTCGGTGGCATGGATTGATTCATGTCACGAACGTGAGGTATTGGTCTCTGCAAATGAATCCGATCACGGATCATGTGCTGTTGCATCTGTATTTGTGCTCTCAACAACTCAGACACCATTGTAGTTTGCACTATGGTTTGGAAATCATTGTTTTTTACATAAATTATTAGAAACGAGATATGTCACTTAAGTTTTATGTGTAGGCCTATTATGCCACATAAGTAGAAGAAGTAAAAAGAAAATAAAAATTTGAGGCGTGGCACACCCACTCCATTCATACAAATACAAAGAGTGATATAATTCAGCTACCAGTAAAGCTAGAGAAGCTAAATTTTGTATAAGGGGTCAAGGCATAAAGGGGAATACGACCTATTTAAAATTTTCGAAAAGGGGCGTGGCCCGCTCACTGAGAAGGAAAATTCGTATATCTCACAAACCGACCGATCTTAATAAAACTTAGTACATATAGTGTTTAATGTTTAATGTTAATGTTAAATGAGAGTGAGGTACCCAAGTAAAAAAGTCTAAGTTCGGGTGAAGTCAAACATTAAATATCCGGCGCAAGTATTAAATATAGTTTTTTCACCTTTCCTAAAACTACCGTTACGTGGCAAGCAGTGGTGGTTTTATTTATTTATTTCACACATCTTCGCTAGTATATTCAGTTATAATATGAACATACATACATACATACTGGTAGGCGTACACACACACTAACATACCAACAAGACTAAAAGCACCCCTATGTACATACATACGCATACACGAAGCTGGCACGGTAAGCACATACAAATTTCGCAAACGGCAACTTGGATAATCATGCGCACCAACAGATGGAATAAGTTCGCTACGCGAAACGCATAACACGGAATAAGCCCATTCACTCTCAAACGGTTCATACAAAACCAGAGCTAAAGCTGCCAGCATGAACTCAACCAGCATCAGTTGTCAGTAGGTAAGCACGGAGCGCAGCCTGGGCTTCGGGCCTATTTGGGGCGCTCTTGGCTTTCCTCCTCGGAGGAAGACTGATTGGTTGAGGGGGGCTGCAAGGGGGGAATACCCCTCAGGCAACACCCCAAAACCATTATGGGCTAGACCCATTTTTGGTTACGGTCTCAAGCAGTCAGGGGGCGAGATCCGTTTGGGCTTGCCCAATTCCGAACACCCCTGCCTGCTTGCGATACCGCGCGGCTAGCGGGCGCTGAAGGGGGGAGGGAACCACCTCCCTACAGCGCCTAGCGGCCGCGAATACATACGGGGGGACTGGGCAACCTTTCGATGCCCTGGGGTACCGTACCAATCATCAGTTGTCCGTAGGTATCACCAATCTGGACTGCCAGCACCGCTACCGCCCTAAGGCCGACATTTCTACAGAGGACCGCCCGCTATTCACCGTCACCCAGGGCCGCCGCAATAACCGTTGCCACCATTAGGGCCCGCACCGCTGCTCTAATCACCGGGGGCCGCTACTATTACGGCCGCTCCAAGGCTGACAATTCTATCGAGGACCGCCCGCTATTCACCGTCACCCAGGGCCGCCGCAATAACCGTTGCCACCATTAGGGCCCGCACCGCTGCTCTAATCACCGGGGGCCGCTACTATTACGGCCGCTCCAAGGCTGACAATTCTATCGAGGACCGCCCGCTATTCACTGTCATCCAGGGCCGCCGCCATAATCATCATCACCGCTAGGGCCCGTACCGCTGCTCTCATCACCGGGGCCGCTATTACCACTGCCGCCCCAAGGCCGAAGCTACAACCGTGGGCCGCCCGCCATCATCACCGAGGACCGCGAACGCTAACTATCGCCAACCAGGGCCGCTGTCACCATTGCCACCATCAGGGCCCGCTGCTACTGTCTTCATTACTGGAGCCGCCGCCATTATCGTCGCCCCAGGCCGACCACTACTGCTCGTCACGAGTACGGTAATTGCCACTACCATCATCGCCCAGTACCGCTGTCACCGTCGTAATTAAAAGGGGCCTCATTTACCCTTCGCCNATTTGTGCAAAAATCTTGATAATCTCCGAGCTTTCTCAGTTCGGTGAAATACCATTGTCGAGCGGGTCAGGTACCACGGATATATCGAAACGAGCCAAAAATAGCCAAATAATCTTCAACCGATAGAAATTTTTCGTTTACATGAACGCCATCGAATTGAGCACGTCCCACCATTTCCTATACATTGCATCCGCTTGGGCAGATTCGTCGAATANGCACCGTCACCGTACAATTACCCGCCGGATAATCTCCGACACCGACTGCCGACTCTCGCTCTTTACCTTCCGCTCTCCCCTGCACGACAAGTTGCCGGCCTTCTAGATAGCCGCGTGTGTGTGTGGGTGTGTTCGACTTAATACACAAATCATTGTGTTTTATTTGGTGGGGGTTAGTGGGACCTTCGCTGGACTCTGGAGCGGCTGAGCATACCTCAGCCTTCGACAAAACCCACCTCATANCTTCGACAAAACCCACCTCATAATGAGATAAACATTTCACCTCAAGTGACCCAACTTTTGATGTCGATGTCTTCCGATCGGGATGAAATTTGCACTAAGGTTAGTCGTATAAAATTGTAGTTATGACACAAAATTTCAACGGGATCGGTCAAACACACTCCGAGTTGGAGGGTCTAGAATTTTGGCATTTTGGTCAAACGACCATTTTTTCGGATCCATATAACTGATTACCTATTGTATTTAGAAAAATTTTTCAGGAATGTTTTCGATAGATTTCTCTTCAGTCTCTAAAAATTTAATTTTTTTTTAAATAAAATAAATTTTTTTTGAAATTTTTTTTTTTAATAAAAAATAACTTTTATGCTTTTTTCAAAAAGGGGTATTTTTTTATTTTTTTTTTGCTCAAAAGAAAGCTTAGGTATTTTTCTTTAAGAGCTTTGTGGTCGCCTAGTGGGATGCGACTTGTTTATCAATCAAAATTAGCGGTTAGTAACTCGAAACAGCGGTTTTTTTAATTTTTAATATATGACCTATTGTTCTTTTTTTCGTATTATTGTGTAAGTGTCTCTGAAACCTGAAAATAAAACTTATATGAGAAAGTATATACAATCACCTTTCCAACGGTATATAACATGCCTAGCCAAAGTTTCATACCCTCGATACTGCAATTCCCGTAGTTAAGGATGATTAAGATTTTTCGTAGTCTAACACAGCAGGTACTCGATTTTGTGCATCCAAACACTTTATTAATAGCTTTGCAGAATTTTGAGTATTAGATTTGCATACCTACTAGCACAATATTTAAAAGGTATGAAGAATATGGGATTTTTCCGGTAGTTAAGGATGATTAAGATTGTTTCTTTTTTGCTCTAAAGAAAGCTTAGGTATTTTTCTTTAAGAGTTTTGAGGTCGCTTAGTGGGATGCGACTTGTTTATCTATTAAAATGAGCATTTAGTAACTCGAAACAGCGTTTTTTTTTTAATTTTTAATATATGACCTAAGTGTTTCTGAAACCTGAAAATAAGACATATAAAAAATTAAATACAATTACCTTTCCAACACTATATAACAAGCAACTAAAGTTTCATACCCTCTACACTATAATACCCACAATATGTACACCTCTGGAATCAAATAACTGTTTTTCTATAGAATTGGTGAAAATTATGATTTTTTTTATTTATTTAGAATAGTTTTTAATATATAATTTAATAAATAGATACATAAAAAGTATACAAGATAGTTAATTTTCTAATAGCCAGCCTTCCATCCACCTTATTTTCCACCTTTCTTTGTGGCTTTTTTCGTCAATCCTTTCTTAGGGTTACTGGGTTCTGCTGTTGATTTCACTCCGGGTTCCCTTTTTGGAAAGAAATCACATTGGGTAGAGGAAGAAAATTTCTTTAACTTGAGCCTTCCATCGCCAATCGGTATGAAAGCATGATATTGAGCGGTACCATCGATTGTTACTGCAGCATCGAATCTGCTCTTCAGTGATATCGCAGTTTCCGCATGATCATGACATGAACCATGACAGTTTAATAAAGGTCGCTCACAATCCATAGCATATTTCTGCAATTGCATAAATTTTTCAGCTCTTATGCACCGAATCGCGAATAGCCCTATTATTTCAGTTTCTTTACAATAATTCTTTGCCCACCGGAAGAAAGCTATCGCATCTATGAAACGAGCTTGATGAGAGCATTGTAGGCTATACTTCGCTGCATTTCTTTTGATATTTGCTCCTATACCATCACATGCTCCTTTACCATGAGCAGTAGGATGAAAATGCCACTCAGCTGGTGTATCGAAATCTGTTTCATGAGCCATAAGATTTGCGAAGCTACTTTTGTTTTTAAAATGCTGACGAGCTCCATCCGAAACGTAGTATACCTTCGCTACTGTGAATTCGGATTTTAGATAATTTAGTATTATCTTCTGGTACTCATAAACAGCAACGGCGTCATGCTTCAAATCGTCGGATATGATTGCCATACTTTTATGTTCCAGTTTTCCATCTTTCATGTAGTAAATAACTATTGTAAATATAGTTGCTTGGTCGTTATTGAAATGGAATGCTTGTATGGCATCCTGGATAACATATTTATAGTTTTCTGCGAAATCGTATGAAATAACGAATTCACCTGCCTGCAATTTTCGAAGAATGACCGCTGCTCCTTCACTAGAAAGTCATGGGTTCTCAAATTTACCAATCCGGTAAAAATTTCTTCCACAAAATCGTCCCCACTTAAGATAACTTTTTTCAATGTGCACCTTTCAGACTGCAGCCAAGATTCAAATTTGACCTCCACCACAAATTATCGGTCAAAAGACTTGATCAAATTCTCTTTGATGAACGTAGTTCCCGGGCAATTTGAGCATTCACCCAAGTGGCAAGAAGTTGATACATTAGGACACATTGTCAATTTAAGGCAATCACGGTAACTGTTCAAATCTTCCGGCGAATCATTTGTTAAATAATTCAAGTTGATTTCCTTCAACATCAGCTTCACATTTTCATGATAAATGCAAACGCATACTGTATGAGTTCCGCTGCTTCCTGCCAAGACGCAATGTTTTGGCCTGAGCTGGGTAAATTTTGTGAATCCAATTTTAATATCCTCGTATTCGGATTAAAAGCTCGCGAATAGCTCACTCAGGTTGCAGAGAATTATCCTCCTCTGCATTTGAACTTTCTTACCGTCAATTCGTACAGACACCTAGTCTTTCCTCCCTGGCATCAGGTGACTCATATCATCGCGCTGATAAAACTGAGTCACTAGAGCATCAGTTTTGCACTCTAAAGGTTTTCCTTCCTTTGTGTTTGGGAGTGTGAGTATGCCATGCTCTGCAACTAATTTTTTAGCAATCTCGGCTTTTCTTTCTGATGTTCCAAACTCAGCCATTGTTTTTGCGCGACTCCATGTCGGTGGAGCAAGCGTGAGAAGTTGAATTTTTTCTGCTCTACTAGTTGAAGTTTTGTACTTTTCTTTTATTTGCTCAAGTACTTNATTTGCTCAAGGACTTATACTGCATCCTTGTGGTATTGTGGTATTAGAGTTTGATTTTAATTTTGGTTTTCTGTTGTTGAGAAGTTGCGTCTACGTATAGGTGATTGATGCATTTTTAAAATCTACTGGAGGAGTGTACAAGAGAAATAATTTCCATAATATTAATACTAATAACAAATACTTAATATTAAGTAATAATGTAATAAGTTTGTTAATATTGTTTTTAATAAATTATTAAAGTCAAAAAATAACGTAATAAATATTCAAAAATGTATATATTTAATTTAGATATTACGTCAACGAAAGACTTAAGATACGAACTTATATTGAAAATATCTTGCAATCTTATCTTTAAAATACAAATTAATACTAAAGTTATATTTAATCTAAAAATATAAACAATACAGCTCACCAAGTCTGAACGAATGAATTTGAACGCTCATTGCTTCAATAAGATACATACATATCTAGAGGCCAAAATTTAAAAAAAATCTTCATTGGTGTCTTTGAGCTTGTTAGTTTTGCAAACTGCAACTGCTATGGCTATTATTGTTATAGATCCTTGTTGCACTTGTATAGCTTGTGAAAATTTTGATATATTGGAATTGTTGATGTGCGAACTGCTTTTGAAGTTGTTGTTGATGTAATTGTGAAACCTTATCGCAATTGTTGCACATATATATATATTTACTCTTAATGATCTTTGGAATTCATGTTATACATGATTGTGGAAAGAAACTTTTGCTTAAGAGATGATTAAATGATGATATGACGTAACTTATTGCAGACATAAATTGTTGGAAACGATGCAATTATTATAACGTGTATAATTATTCGATGAGCCGGATCGCCAATATGTAGAGTTAGAATATATTATTCCAATTTTTAAATGTTTATTTGAATGAAGAAAATTTTTGAATGAAAGCAAATTCTCCTATTGATATTTTCAACCATAGTCATGAACAATATTAAATTAAATAAAACAAATAAACAGGTAAATAAAGCTTAAAGTATTAAACCCTACACTTTCCTGCACGATCCACAAATTCGCATCCGTTTTGATAGCGCAGGGAATTTTGATATTAAGCCGTCAGAAAGCCGTCGTGTATCTGAAGATACGTGTTTTTTTTTTGTTGAAGGGATTAAAGCAAAAAGAAGCAAAAATTTCTTTATAAAGTTTAGCCTTTTTATGAGCCATAACTATTGAAAATATTAATTATGTAAATAACACAGTCTTTATTTTAATGCTGTTTCTAAAAAAGTGGTCTTCAGAATAACCATACACTGCCTTCATAAACTATAGCTGATTTATTATAGCTACTTATAGGTTGCGCAAGTAGGTATGCATATCTATTGAGAAAAGGTTTGGACGCATCTGCTATGGTTAGGTACAAAGAAAAATCTTTATCATCCTTAACTACCGGGAAATCCCATCTTCTTCATACTTTTCAAATATTGTGCTAGTAAGTATGCAAATCTAATACTCAAGATGCACAAAATCGAATACCTGCTGTGTTAGACTACGAAAAATCTTAATCATCCCTAACTAGGGGAATTGCAGATCGAGGGTATGAAACTTTGGTTAGGCATGTTATATACCGTTGGAAAGGTAATTGTATATACTTTCTCATATACGTTTTATTTTCAGGTTTCAGAGACACTTACACAATAATACGAAAAAAACAAGACAATAGGTCTTATATTAAAAATTAAAAAACCCGCTGTTTCGAGTTACTAACCGCTAATTTTGATTGATAAACAAGTCGCATCCCACTAAGCGACCACAAAGCTCTTAAAGAAAAATACCTAAGCTTTCTTTTGAGCAAAAAAGAATTAAAAAAATACCCCTTTTTGAAAATAACATAAAAGTTATTTTTTATTTAAAAAAAAAAAAATAAAAAAAATTAAAAAAAAAATTATTTTAATTAAAAAAAATAAAATTGCAAAAAATGAAGAGAAATCTATCGAAAACATTCCTGAAAAATTTTCTAAATACAATAGGTAATTAGTTATATGGATCCGAAAAAATGGCCGTTTGACCAAAATGTCAAAATTCTAGACCCTCCAACTCGGAGTGTGTTTGACCGATCCCGTTGAAATTTTGTGTCATAACTACTAAAAGTTGGGTCAGTTGAGGTGAAATGCCCCATAGTTATAAGTGGGCGGTATCACTCCCATTTCTAAAATTTCATAATAATGTTACTTCTTTTTAAGGGATTGTTGTGAGTATCGATTTTGAGTAAATTAGCGTGCTTAAATTTCGAAATATTGAAGTTTTAAGCACTTCTTAAATTCACCGTTATATGAAGAGTAGGCGTAATTTTAGTCCGATTTAAAAAATTTTCACGGTTTTGCTTTTATGTGGAAAAAATAATAATTATATCGAGTTTGGTACAAATTGACCAAACGGTTACCGAGGTACACATAAGTGGTCATAAGTGGGCGGTGCCACAGCCATTTTCCAAAATTTTATTGTACGCGTATTTCTTGCTAAAGAATTATTGCAAACGTCAATTTTGAATGAATTAGATTCAGTATTTACCGATTTATCGCAGATTTCGTATTTCTCCAAATTACCGTTATATGGGATGTGGTCGTGGTTATTGTCCGATTAAAAAAATGTTTAATATGTTTTACCAAGACCAACAACTGTGCCAAATTTGAGAGAAATTGGTGAAGCGGTTACCAAGATATACACATATAATCAGAAGTGTCCGATTTTCCAAAAATTTATAATATTCTTATTTTTCGCCTAAAAATCATTCAGGCATATTCCGAAATTCGAAAATTTGAAATCGACTCGATTTCGATAATTTCTTCGATGGTTTTTAACCTAAAAAATTAAAGTCTCGCATTAAAATGATTGTTTTCATATCGCTGCTGCTTCTTTTACAGTGTTCAGTGAGAATATTCACTCCTTTCATCAGATATAATTAAAAAATAAGTGGCAAATCGACTCGATTTCAAATTTTCGAATTTCGGAACATGCCTGATTGTAAATATAAATTTTGAGTGAATAAGCTTCAGTAGTTTTACGATCGCCCTCTAGCCAAACTCGTTGTGTTGGAATTCAAATGTTGCTGAAAACTACAAATATTCTTAAATGGGGCAAAGCCCACACATATGATTTTAAAGAGCAGACTCTCAACTTTCACCTGACATAAAAAACTTGAACAATACGGGACCAAACTCCACAAAACATAGTCAAATACCAAATTTTTACGTTAAAAAATGTATTACACGAAACACCGCGCCACACAGTGGTTCGGCCGTGGAAAAAATGAATTTTTTTGAATATCTAATTTTCAGGTTTGAATGGTGCAGTCTTATAAAGAAATGTATTAATATGAACAATTCATTACTACTTTGCATGAAGTTGAAATTTTTTTACAAAATAATGGCATCAGAAGTAAGAAAAATTTTATTCAACTAAAACTGCTTGAAATTTTTGCTAACTTGAGCTATATATTTTCCTTATAACTTTCATCTATATTGTTTTTGTTGTGAGTGTATAAGAAAATACAGCACCTATTTGACTAAATAAAGAAAAAATCAGTGCAATCGACCAAATATTAAAAAAAAAATTTAAGCCAGCAAAAATGGTACCTCATAAATGCTACCTTTGCTACTTTTAATGGACAAAAAGTTCGTGTGCTACTGCGTGCTACATCTTCTAACTGTAATAAAATGAAATGTTTGGAACATTTTCTATCGATTCCTGAAAAAAATTTGTGTTCATATTTGCCCATCTCGACGTAAACTTGATTTAAATGACGAAGTCACTTCAAAAGTGACAAAATGTAGCATGCCTTCTTGCTAAAGAAGTATTGCAAACGTCAATTTTGAATGAATTAGCTTCAGTATTTACCGAATTTCAATGACCTAGGACCACGAAAACAAAACAATAGCAAACGTATGACGAGGCACTAATAGCGATTATGCTGATGAAAAATAACAAAATAGCTGCAGCTGGTGGCCTGTCAGCCGAGCTATTCCAGTACGATGCCAAGGAGCTAATAAGGTTTATGCCCGACGATTGGAATTCAAGTGTGCTTCGCCCAAACCACAAGAAAGGCGACCCCGCCATGCAGGCCAACTATTTTATCGAGCGTGTTGTGTGAAAAACTGAAGCCCAAAACTGATTGGACCTTGGAAATATTTAGAAACCCCACATGTCGGACTACTTTGTTTCTACGTTTATATTATACGAATTTACGATGTCTCACGTGGTCATACACCCTAAATGTGACCTTGCATCTGCCTCCGCTTGATAAAATTGCTCGGGCGGCCATTGCTGCAGCAGTAAGACTCAAGAAACCCAGCTTTTGGATATTTTAAAAATGGCGAATTAGCGAGGAAAGTTTCGACCACATCCTTCCAAGAAATGGACAAATTTATCGTGCGGGAAAACTTTTCGTCCTGTAAAACCTCGAGGATTTTTGGCTCTCCTATAATAGAAAACGCACATCTGTACTCTTCAGCTTCCTCATAAGGACTTTTGTTGGCTTACATGACATAAGACTAGAGGTTGACGTATCGGACCAATGTTGTAGTTGCAAGATCATAGAAGATTACGCATGCTTAGAAAAGATCTCACGGGTGGAAATAAGACCATCGGTAGAGGTCATGACATCGAAAGGGATTCTTTTTGCTATAGCATCACAGCGCTACTATTTTTGGCAGAAATACGTGTGAAAAGGGTTCTGCTCTTTAGTTGTTTCAACTTAAATTAACAATTTTTACTTTATCCATATTTGCTTTTCAGCCCTATTCTTGCATTGGCCAACGCAAAAGATCTTATCAGGGGCCGCGAAACAAGCGCGAATTGGCTAGTATTCTTGATAAAATAGTAAACAGAATTCAACTAACTCACAATCCTTGACAATTGAAATATAAGTAAAACGTTGCTCAGTGTGTTATAAATCAATTTTTAAAAATTATTTTAAATAACGAATAAAATCACGAATAATGTATTCATAAGCAATATATTCACGAATAATTATATTAAGGATCAAATTTTATTCGAATAATTATCTAAATAACAATTTATTCGAATAATGCCCAACTCTGTTTCAAACATATTATGTTCAGTTAGACTTAACGAGATAGTTATATAGTTATAAGAGGGCTGTACCACGCTCATTCTCCAAACCTCCATAATAGTTAATTGTATTTCTTTTTAAGAAATTGTTGTGAGTATCAACTTTGAGTAAATTAGTGTCCTTAAATTTCGAAATATCGAAGTTTCCGTGTTTGTGAAATTTACTGTTATATGAAAAGTGGGCGTAATTTTACCGTTGAAACACAATACTGACGAACGACGAATTTTCGGATAATAGTGCGACGACGACGGCAACTTTCGCACTAAAATTTCGCTCAGTAAAACACAACTACGGCGACAACGAATTCATCTGCTTATGACAAGGTACAATTAAAATTTTTACAAACAATAAGATTATTAATTTTTAACAAAAACTAATACAGTATTTTTCAATTTCGACTTAAAAACTTGAGAATATTTAGCATATGGCCACAATGGACGCATTTTGCCGCTGCCGCCAGCGACGACGAAAGAAATAAGTCTATCGTTGCGAACAGTCGTCGGACGAACGTCGTCGTTTGCTTTGGTTGTGTGCATTCACATATACAACGGTGTGTTTTCATTTTTACAGCGAACATTGGCAGCGAAAAATTCGCTGTTCGTCGGCATTGTGTTTCAGCGGTTAGTTCGATTTCAAAATTTTCAACGTCTTGCTTTT